CCATTTTAAAAGAAAAATTTTTTTTATTCAATTAGATTAAAAACCTACATTTCCTATTCGGAATTTTGAAATGCGCAGTATTCACGATGTACAGGAATGGCTGATATTATTTTTAGATTGAAAAGCATAGAAATATAATATATTTCATACTATTTTTTATTTATTTCAATTGAGTCATTCGATTAATTTATATTGTATTTTTTACATAATATGATTCTTCTAGTTATTTTGCATATAAAAGTATTTAAATAAAAAAATCTATAATTCACAAGATATACAGGTTTACATTTTTATTCTGACACATTTTGACGTAAAATATAAGTAATTATCGCAATGATTATAAATTCTTGGAAGAAAAAAATCTTGAAGAAAAAAATTCTTGAAATTTATATCATTTGAAATTCATACTTTTTACTTGTGTTACACGATTGGTACGTTCAGGATTATATCAATCATATAATTTTTCTTTTAGAATGAAATAAAAAAAGTAAAAAATTTCTTCATTAACTTTATTGATAAAAATGTTCACTTTTCACATGTCTGTCTCAAGGAAAAATCACATGAATCTGAAATTATAGTTATTAAAAAATATTATTAAGAAATATTTCAAATTGCCATGTGACCGATATACAATAATTTTCTCCAAAAATACCAAAATATTATTTATATACTTACTCAAACAAAATGGCCGACAGAAAATTGTACGCAGTCGTTGAATTTGAAGATGGTCTTCAAATGATTCCAAACAATTGGTTGTGGATATAAGTGTAATGAAAGCCATTTGGCCAAATTTTACAAATTACAAGAGATATGACAAAGCGGTGAAGTTAATGGAATCTACCTGGATTAAGCATCCCATTCGAAAAATATATGGAATATATAGTAAGCAATGTCACATTATATTCTTCTCTGAGATACTTTATCGTTGCTTTTCGGTATACATATAATATCGAGTTATCATAGATAAAATGGTTGTTTTTAATAATTAAAATTTTAGTTTTTTTTTAATAGTTTTTTTTTTATACAAGTATCATTGTATGAGTGATTTATAAAGTATATGCCTCACATGTAATAAATTCATACATATGTAATCTTATTTTGATCACAGCATTTACATCATTAGAAATCGCTGTTTCTTCGACATGGAAAGTAAGAAAATGCAGATAATATTGTTGCGAATAATAAATTCGAACTTAATCATAGTGCGGTAAAATCGGGAAAATATAAAGCATAAACCCTTCTAGGGAAGGCCCTGTAAATGATCAAACTATCAGTAGTTGATGATAATGTTTTGAAAAATATGATTGAAGCAGATTCACATTTATCAATTCAAGATATTGCACGTAGCATCATATTCATTATTCAACTATTTTCCGACACCTCAAAGTAAATGAGGAAGGTGAACAAGCTTGATGCGGCATGTTATTATTCCATGATGATGCTACACCGCATCTTGCAAAACTGTAAAAAGAAATTGTTAGAATACAAACGCGAAGTTCCCCTCACCTTCTTTACTCTCCTGATCTTTCTTCAACACATTGCCACTTGTTTAATCTGAATAGCTTTTTATGTAAAAAAATATTTCAAATAAAAAGTGAACGTGAAAGGTGTATTCAATTTGCTCTCCTAATTTCTGTATAAAAGCCATTGTGATGCGCTTGTATTACGTTGGAGGAAAAGTATTGGATAGAGATGATTTCGATTAGTAAGATGTATATAAAGTATGTCGAATGAAAATTTAAATTCAAAATTAAAAATAAATGGCCATTTCGTCTGTAACATTATATATATAACTTAATATTAATATATTTATATATATTCTTTAATAATATACGAAAATAATACATGTTTTTATCGAGATTATATTATGTTGTAGCTGATTTTACAGTGGCACAGCAAAAGTTAAAAAAAGCTGAAAAACTGTAAAATTTGAGTTCCAGTACGAAAAAAGAAGAGTATTTTAAAAAAACAAGAAAAATTAAAGCTGCTAAACTCTTGGACAGTGATAGTGAAGAACTGTCAGATGACAATTATATTAAAAGCCTAAGCCCTTCTATAAAAAAACGTTGTTCTACGTGTCTCTCTACATATGTTGAAAAAAAAACAGAAAATCGCAAAAAATGCACAAGAAGGTAATAACACAAAAACATTAATAGAAATAAAAAGTAGAAATGAGTATTAATTATAGAAATAATAAATTAAGAAAGGATAGAATATTTTAATAATGAAGTATCATTTTATGCATTACAGATTTGAATCGCATTCATAATACAGAATGTCTAAGCACAGAGAATATTATAATGTTAAATGATTGCAACATAAAAAAAGAAAAAGAAGATGAATTAGGTACGCATAATTTTTGTCAAAATAAATTTCAGTAGTAAGACTAATTTATGTTATACGTATATTCGAGGACAATGATTCATCTTCTCCTATATATTATAAATAAAACAAAATAAAAGATGTGCCTATTTATTTCTGTTTATAAGAATCAAATATGTCTATATCATATGTGATTCTATATTTTTATTAAAAGGAGAAAGACAAACTATTATTCACGGATACATATTTTATATGCTTTATATCATACATAAAATGTACATGTATAAGTACATACATACTTTCATTATCGTGTTCATTATCGAAAGATTGATTGAAGAATATATTTTTAACTTGAAAATTAATCGAAATTAGAATAAAAAAATCAATTGAAATCAACAGAAATAAAAAAAAATTTTGACTTTTATTTTCGACATCGAAATGACGTTTTTTTTCGATGAACTATTTCTGACTAGATAGATAATTATATAATTATTGTGTATGTAACTAAATCAATGTTAAAATTATAATGAAATAATAATGATAATATTATTTTTTAAGATAATACTTTCAGATCCACAATGTGATAAAAATTTATCTAACGTTGAAGAAAAAAACGAAGATGATAATAGTGAGTCATTAGCAGTGCTAAGTTTCGAACAAAGTTATAATTATATATATGTATGTATATATATGTATTTATTCTCTGTATTATTTTTATTTAATTTTGCATAATATTTTTCTTAATCTGTCGAATTTTTTAAAGATTTAATATTTTATTGGATAAAAGTAAATATCAAACTTACGAATAAAATTTTTTTAATGTCTTACAGAATTGGACAATTTTCAATGTTTTGTCATATGAAAACTAACAAATATAGAAAAAATTTTAAAAATAATAGTAAATGATATAAACATATTTCAAATGACTGTTTTCCAAAAGCTTGCAATTTCGAAGAATATAGTGGAAAACGAAGAAAATATTGATGTTTTTGCTGATTTATCATTGAAAGACAAAAATGATTTAAAAATAATGGAGAGAAAATTAAAAGATGATCAGAATATCGAAATCAGAGAGAGATGGTGGGTCTAATATTTGTACTTCAATATTACAAAATATCTTCGAAAAAATAAAGGATAACAATTTGTGATCTACTCAATAAATTAAAAAAATAATCCTAATTTTTAATAATTGTAGATTAAACAATTATATCGTGTAACGTCTGAACATGTTAAATCATCTTGCATAAGACTGATAAAAGTCATATTATCAAACGAATTGACAGTAGAATATAGTTGGTATGAAGCGAAAAAGAAACTAGTTTTCTCAGCACTGGAGATATGCAAAATAATAATGAGTAAGTAAAATTTTAAAAACAAAATCTTTATATTTATTAAATAATATTATTTCTTTACAAATTAAAATATCCAATGTTTATTTCAATAAACATTTATAATTATAAATATTTTTTAGTTAACACTCGTATATATGTACATTACAAATAAAGTACATAATAAATTGTCTTCTTAACAATCACATAAGATATTTGTTCTAATTTGTTAAGAAATAATGAAGGTTTTCTAAAAAAAATGTTATTTTTTCAGGTGTGTTACGAAATTTACATCCAAATGCAACAGATGACGAACTTACAAACCCTATTAAAATATGGTTAGTCCATGCAAAAGAACGCTTAAAAAGAGTAAAAGAATTGCAAAAAAAAACTGAATGATACTTATTGACTTGAATGATACTCATTGATATATGTATATTGTACTTTAATTTATTTTTCTTTCTTTATAAGCAGAATGAGTGCTACTTTCTGCACTTCTATTAAAGTTTTATATTATTTTCCGTAGAGTCTTTTGAGCATAGAATAATTAAGTGCCTTCGATCTCCTTTACACACATACAACATATATGTATATTATGGATGCTTTTCAATTGCAATATCCCTAGACACTTTCATGCACACAGCAACACTAGTTGCATTCCAATTATCCGTTATCGTCGACACAACATTACACACATCTACTCAGCTGAGGGCTGTGTAAATATATATATAATGTATTTATATTATATATATACATGTATATATGTATATGTATGTATATTTTTACATAATTAATTATTGATTATGTTAATCGAAGTTTAAAAATATTATAAAACACATATTTTAAATATCTTTTGATCAATAAAATATCTAACATTAATGTTACTAAATTTTTATCAGAATACATATTGGATATTTTATCAATCGAAATGTCTATGTCATATACTTTTGTATTTAAACTTTAAAAAGTATATAACGATTTTTATAACAATGAACAATAAAATGTTATGTTTATTTCTACTATAAGAATAAACCTGAAAAAGATTTGTAACTCGTTCTTGATATTAAAATATTTAAAATCATGTGTAGTGTAACGATATATAATAAACAGCTTTTATTTTTGCAAATGTAAATGTTAACATTTTCATTCACAATTTAATATTAAAAACATATAAATTAATTTACAAAGTTAATGGATTAAAGTTAGGATCTATGTATAAAAGATAAAAATTGAAAATTCATGTTTCTTTTTTTGAAAAAAGAAATAAACACCCTTTAAATTTAAGAGTTCTACATCAAATAATCTTAAGAAAAAATATAAACTAGAATCAGAATCGTTGAGATAATCGGCAGCAAGACAAATGGGGAGGAATCATTCAAGAAAAAAAAGAGCAAAATTTCTCATACAAATATAATTCGTATACCACTCTAAAATGTGACTTCTATTCACCTGTACGAAGCACATGATGTATGGAGTATATTATCTGCGAGGTGTGTAGCAACGCTAGAACGGCAATAAGTATATATAAGTAATCCTATATATTAGTATATACTATAGATATATACATATATTATATATTATTCATATATACTCCAAATTTCTTGGAATAAAATTTCACTCAAATATTTTCACTCTTTAAAAGTGGCTGATGTTCACTCTCTCTCGGAGTGAGATTTCACTCCAAGAAAATTAGAGTATACTACTAAAAATAATAGAAATATACTATTAGTGTACGCAGCATTAATATATTCATAATTAATTCTAGCTCACCAGATTCGTGATTTTTCTGGTTCTCATGATTGCGATACCGGTCATGCGGCGATTATAATCGATGATTCCATGTGGATGATGATCTCATTTGGCGTCACAGTTGTTGCAGTTGTGATCAACCTAAAGAAAGCAACATTGATAAATCAGACAGGAGCCGAGTGGTCAAATTGTGAAATCAATTTCGCACTCGTCTGAGAGATTTAAGCTAATTTTGTCTATATCTTTACGAAGTGTCGTTTGCAACATTGCTCGTTTACTCAAAATCGTGCCTACTTGATTATCGAGTGAATTAGTTTCATTTCCTTTGGCGCCTTCCTAATTTTAGCGCTTTTAGTTATTTCTCTCGATCTAACGTCCGCCGTGCGCGTTAAAAACGGCAAGATAATTCATCTATGGGAGAGAATATTGTAACGATAACGGTTGTTAACTGCGAATATACTTGTGAAAAGTGTGAATCTACGAATCTTTCCCACTCGTCTTTCTGATGTATCTTTATTCAGTCGTAGTGATTTTATCTCACTCCCTGTGCTACGTCTTTATAAGAGACATAAAAATAAAGAAACGCAATTGGGCTTATTACAATCGAATGAAATCTACTTTTCAAGCAATTCGATCGCCTGTGACACATTACATTAGGACGCCTTTCAAAGATCCGCTGTTATATTGCAATTAATTGTCACTACGTTTGTTATTTCGCTAAATTCACTTTTACACTCGATAAATGCAGTAGTTCGAAGTTCCGTCTGTTAACTAATTAATTCGATTACTCTTATAATAAATTCTGTTAAATATATATATATATATATATATATGTATATAAATATATGTCCTCTTCGGAAATAGATAGCTGTTCACAAAGAATGGATAGATATTTATTTGTATTTACTCACCTGAGCTTTTGGGTTGAGGTATACTCGAGCATTTGACTTTCATTTCTAATATTTAGTGTTTCGCATTGCACGCGTTAGTTTCATTATTTTTCTGGTTTGTTCTCTTTCCCATTTTCTCATTTTCTCATGTACGTCACATTAATATTTATCATTGATTGATAATCGTCTTTGATTGACTGTTATTCGGTTCCAAGTGATACGCAATTTAAAAAAAAATTGTGTACATAAAAAAGTACTTTTTATAGCAAGTTACTCTTTCTTTACTTATTTTCTATATAAAAATTATACATTTTGCATACATATTATTAACAAGGTGAATCTTAAGTAATTATTCATAAACTCAAGGACTTTAGCTAATTTCTACTACTTTCCAGTATATGTATAATTAACGAAAATAATTTTATTCACTTTGAATGCCGATCTAGTTAGCGCAATATTGGATTTCGATAGTACGCGCGATTCTTCTAATTTTATTTTAATTATTTTTAAACTATTTTGAATAGCGCTAACTGGACTGCACTCATTATTTACTCGATTTGTCTTTTCTCTTTTAAGTGAGGGTGGATGACTTAACAAATTTGACATGTTTCTTGTTGGAAGAACGATACTTTCTGTCTCTCACCCTCTGACTTTCATTCATTCTTTCTTAAGTATCTCAGCTTGTTGCTACGCCTGTGAAATAAACTTGATTTTCATCAAATTTGGTCATTATTAGTACTTTTAAGTACCTTCCGCAACTTAAACTCCATATGCTCTACAATGCACTCATGATATTACTCTATAATTGTACTCAAATGATACTGCTCTATAATTGAACTCATATGACTCTATAATAAACTCATTATATTACTCTATAATTGCATTCGTATCATATTGTACTCATATTGCTCTATAAATATATTTATATCATATTTGTTAAGTAATAATACTCAAATATCATAATATTGTGTACTAATAATAATTGAATTTTTATAAACTATAAGAGATGTCGGGCCTTATATCTGGGCTTGTCAATTATTTCCAACGCTACGTTTACGTATGACTCAGGGGTGAGATATTCCTGAAATAGTAACGTTATTTTGAAATTAATAGATATGTGAAACTTGTTATATGCTTTAGAATAAAATCTTTAAACTTACATACACTTTCACAAATTCACATAATTTTCTTCAAATGTTATCTAATTTTTACTTTTACCTTTTTCTAATTAAATATCTCTAACTGGACGTTATGATTTCTTAAATGAGTCTTCATCTTTCGTCCATGTATTTTTTTACCAGTTCGGAGTCGATTTTTCTTTACTGAAAACGTCGAAGAGATCATTATCGTAGTTTCACAATTTTTAACATTGAATATATCTCTAATTAATCTTTTCAACTCTTACAAAATAATTAAAATTTCGCCATCTATTCTCGCCATATTTTCAAGACTTTTAAACTTATTCTTCCTAAGAAATCTAGACTGCTTATAATCTAACAATGCTTTTGATACCTTTGTTAAAGAAAAAATCGACTGCAAACGATCGAAGAATTCATAGACGAAAGAATGGCTCGGTCGGAAATGGCATTTAATCTACCATGTTTCCCAAAAATGTTCACATATATACCTACTTTTTGTTACTATATTACCGAGATAATCTTTCGTCTAATTATCATACTTATTCGCCCATATTCAGTCTTTTTGATTAGCTTGTTCTTCCTAGGGCAGTTGCTGGTTTTTGCGTGTTTCTCGTCCACTTTTTCTCTGTTTCTCGTGCTATAAGGTAAGGTGACAATAAGGGTAAGAGTATAAGTCTTTGGTGTATTGATGTTCTCGATCTTCATTTTTTTTCAATGTTTCTTTCATTTTCATCGAGCGATCGTTTACAATAGATCGGGACATAACAATGATGCGCTATATAGAATTATTCATAAAAGATGTATCATATACAATAAACAGTACAAATTATTTCAAGCGAGTTTCGTTAATTAATATAAAATAATGCACGACAGAGGATTAGACATTATATAACTTCATTGTTAAATTCATTATACTATTCAACTCCTGGTCGGATTCTCTGTCGAGAAAAGAAATCTCATTCAAACAACCGAGACTCACATTTTTTTTCTGCAATCGTAGCTAATCGTTACAGAAAAGACAACAAAATTGCCAACTTCGTTAAATCTTATGAAAAACTATTTCATAAGAATTTAATTAATTTAATTTTCAATTGACGATTATCTCCAGTATAACATTGATAAACTACTAATGACTGATCATCGACGGTCGTGACGGTTATTTGCCCAACTTATAGATTGCAGAATTATTTATGTAATTATAAGTTATAAAATGGATGAATCTAATATTAACAAAAAATTACAATAAACAATAAAATTTTGGCAAACAAGTATTACAATAAGTTATAAAATATTTCCAATAGTTTCAAAATAATCCTCGATATTTCAATTAAATCTAACTGAATAGATATAAACTTTAGATATTTAGTTAATCAAAATGAATGAATATTAAGACATATTAAGAAGTGCTTATGTCAATGTTTAATTTATATTCTCCTGCTAAGCCTTCAGGGATAGAGTACACAGTTCCATATATCGCGTGCTTTGCCATCATTTTTCCTCTCCACAAAAAAAGGGTTTATTTATGATTTCTATTTACAAAACAGGACGCCGACAGCGCTTTACAGTGTCGTCGTTATCGCTTTTGTCATTGCTGGTTTCTCTTTAATTATTACTGTTGTGATAAATTACGCTACGCAAATAGTGAAGAAAACGGTCGAGAAAATTAATCGCTCGACCGGGACTTAATTCTAGATTGTCGTACAGGCGACAGAGTGAAATAATGTAGTGTGTATTAATTGCTAATTGTCAAGTATAAAATATGTATTCCCTATATCGTCAAGCAATATATATCGATCAAGTTCATTCAACGCGCACGAGACGAAGACAAAGCAAGCGGAAGTGAAAAAAATCTTGGGAGCAAAGTGACGCGGAGCAATGCCTTAGAAAAGCTGGGAGTCAATGAGAAGATTAAATCTTTTGAAAATTCTCTTTAAAGTAAAACAATTCTTCAAACACATACGTCAATTGAAAAAATGCATTAAGTAAAAGACAAGGGTATGTTCATATACAAAATAATTACGACATATGTTATATGTCTAACAGTATTAATTCCCAACTTTTTCAACACGTGTGATCAAATCAGCTTTTACGAAAAGTGAGATAAATCCTTCGATATACAAGTGTGTACATCCCGATTTTACAATTTTATGTCACCTTGCTTCAAGATTCCTCGATTGTCATCGTTCTTCTATCAACAAATATATTTCGCAGTTTTAAAAGGAGAAAGTTTATTCTCTTTAACGTGCGACGGGAGATGGATACGATCTGTTCTGTTTTTTTTTTCTTTTCGCCTGGGAGAATTGTTGTCTACTTAGATACAAAATTAATGAGCGGATATTGATTAAGTGACGGATATCTTTAATAACGTCGCTGAGACTGGGCGTTTTGGTAACCAGCACTGCCACCTGGAAACAACCATAGCTCCTCCGTTCCATTACTCGAGAAATATAATTAGTGTTCTTGCTTCTCTACATATATATAAAACTGAACGGCCTACTTATATAGATCCTTGTACGATATCGCTACCAATTCTTTACCTGCCTATTATTTTTCGACGTTTTCGACGTGTGTATGTGTACGTGTACAATGAATATATATCATAACTTCATTTGTCTTTGATTCTTAAATACTTAAAAAAATGGACTTCTTGTAGATTAGCTCTGTGATGTAAATATCTTTGTGGACAGTCTTTTAATCTTGCTAATGCTCGAATATTGCAAAAATCTCGTGTATGTTTAAGTGGATAAACTTATTAAGAATCTTTCTTTGCTATTATGTTCTTGTGATATCGCAAATGCTCTTGTAATAATATAAACGCTTTTTGTAGAACTGCAAATACTTTTAGTACTGCGAGTGTTCTCGTAAGACATATTGCAACAAACATTTCGATGAACTAATAATAGCTGTTGATAATGTCATTAAATATCTCTTGTAATGTTACACTCGTACCTAACGCATAACTAGATGTTTAAATTAATATCGTTTATAATAGCCCTACAGGTTGTATATTTTTTGCGTTACAAGTCGCTATATATATATATACATTATGTTCAGTTACTGACTGTAATTTTCACTTCATTTTTAAACGACATGGTTTAACTACATTTGATTTGATCTTATAATTTGGGAATCGCAATTATCCACTAATTATCCAACAGTTTCCTAAATTTTATAGAATGTCCTACACTTTTCTCGCCAAAAATACAAAAATGTTCATATAAATCTTGCATATAAAATAATATACTAATATATGTCGTTCATGATATCTTTTTTTGTACCTTTCGGATATTTCTTTGTTATATATTATTACTTATTTAGTAATTCACATATAGATTCTACATAAACACAATTTCTCAATCGACTTAGCTAAATTTATTTTCCTTTAATCAATGAACTTTTCTAAACTGCGAGTTGTACTTACCATAGTCCTGTTTCCCATAAACACCATCCTGACTCGGATAATCTGTAATTACAAGAAAAACACGTATTTATCAAACAACGCTTCATGAAAAATGCCGAAAATATAGAAGCGAATGACTCAGACGAGAAATATCTAAAACGAGTCGAACGAAATAACAAAAAAAAAAACTTTATTGTAATATAACGATCGATTGAACAACAAAGAAGTGATGGCAAAATACAAAAAAGAAATACATCTCCATGAGAAAGTGACAGTTAATCAATTAATATCACTTAATTGCTTCAAACAATTTAAAAACATTTTCTTATAAATTAAATAAATCTACGAAGAAATCTTTATAATAATATTGAATTATAGATTAAGAAATCCAAAATATATATTATAAATAAAATCAGATAATAGAGGATATATTGAAAAATAATAAAAGGCTTAACGTGATAATTAATACACTTATATATATTTTTTGTTTTAGGTAAGAAAGAAATTGCACATATCACGGACCTTGTAATCCTGGAGTGAAAGATGGCAGGAGGCAGTGCTGCAGTGCTAGTGTCTCGATGAAAGGATCCGTATCCAATTTTTGTGATTTCTTATTACGTTCAAAATAGGATTTGTGTAACTCTGCGCAACTCATTTGCATCGCTCGCGAGTAGAATACAATTCAGAGAAAAAAAAAACTGTTTAAAATTCTACACAGATCTAGCGATATAAAAATCCACATATCCGAGAAGGAATAAGAATGTAAGAAAATTTCAAGAACTTTAAAAAAAATTTCAATTCTAATAGCATTAAGACTTCGAGAAATTCAAGTATTTGAGTTTCTAGAAAATAAATTGATGATCTGACAAATTGACCGCGCGTTTGCTCTCTTTTCTGTCGTCTAAATCAGTTTCTCGTCTGAATCGAATTGTGTTTTACGCTTTTATTGCGGAATCGTGTTAACTCGGATGTAACCCGGAAAATAAAAACATTAAGTAGCGATCTTCAAAAACTCATTTATCATAGGGACATAAAATTATTTGTCAGAAAAGAGTATCGCATCATATACAAAATCTTAAATTCAATGTTTTGCTAGAATTTTTTTATATAGAGAACATAATAAATTATTTATTATCATAATAATCTGATACTTTATTAACTTTTCTCGAGGAACATTTATAATTAACATTTCATCAAGATTAATAATTAAATTCCCTATCATGATTTTGTGACACAATTTAATATCATGATACTTGTTAGCTGGAAATCTCTTCGAACAAATAATTCAATATTCCATCTCTATGATAAATGAGTTCTTAAGGATCGCTCCAACGGCCGTAGTTAATGAATTGTATAATGTGAGAACGATGACAGCGAACGAAATAACTAACCATAAGGTTGCGTCGAATAACCCCGGTTGATTATGTTGGCATTAGATCGGTCGTCATATGGGTTAGCTGAGACATAACCGGCCCCGCCCCCCGGTCCCGCGGTTGACACTGCCTCCTGCTGGTAATCGGCTAGACATGCATTATGTAATATTAATAACTGTATATGGTGTCCCGCCGACTTATTCAATTTAACGCTCGAGTACTCGATTAGTGGATTATCGCACGTTTTGAGTACTCACAATCAGTACTTGATTGTCGTGATAAGTACTGCCAACGTTACACGAAAAATGCATCAAGCTTAATCCTTCACAATCTGAATTTTTATTTCAAATTATTATTATAAGGTCACGTTTGGAATTAAAATTTTAAAGATCTGAAAGTTTTGGAAAAAAAAATAACTTCAAATTATTAGATCATGAGGAATTGATCAAAATTAATTAGCGAGAGACAAAGATACACAAATTGTAATAGAAAAGTAACGACGCACGTCGCATACAACTCTTTAGTGTCTACAACTCACCTGACGGCGGAGCTTTGCCGTAACTGTACGGATCGTTAGCGCCAAATCCTGCAGCTGGAACTGATGACGCCCCGCCGTATCTGCTGTCTGCTGCGGACGGTGGATAACCCTGAAATCAAAGGAGACAAAATAATCATGAATTCTAATTGAAAACACAATTAACAATTTTTTAATTAACACCAACAGAAAATTCTAAATAATTCTTAATTTCGAGAAATTATTAAATTATGTATGAATGTAATTATTTAAATTTATATGAAATAATTTAATTAAATTTAATGCTCAAAAATATATTTTAATATTCAAATTATTAAACATAATTCGTGGATTGTTTTCAGAATTGTCTCGGATATATGTATTGTCGTATCAATTTTATTTACCGTTTGTCCATAATCCTGAGGCTGCTGATAACTCTCATAGCCCTGATAAGACTGTGTGTAGCCTTGCTGTGAGCCATAGCCACCGCTACCGTATCCTACGGACTGTTGCTGCTGTGGTTGTTGTTGGCTGCTGTAAGCGTTACTTGAACCTCCATAACCTTGGCTATTATCATACAAAAGCAAAATGTGTTGTTAATACATTCATTTTCATTATGTCTTATTATTATATACTTCATTGATTATTTTTGGACTTTTATATGTAAAATATAAATTGTAACTATTATATTATTATTTTCGCAAATTTATTATTTCTAAAGAAGGTATGTTGAAAATAGAGATAAGTATGAGAAAATGCTTAGTTTAGATAGTTTAAATTGTACCTTTTATAATATGTCATAAAAATATAATATATATAATAAATTAATTTATTCTTATAAAAGATTAAACATATATAATAGTAAGTGTCTTCAACATCAAGCTACAATTTCCAATATTGATTGAAAATTAATGAAAGTGTGAGAAATATCTTAAGTAATACAATTTTAATAATTCTCTCTTTTATATATATTGTCTCATTAAATATCCTAATAAATGCACTAATGTATATTTAAATATTAAACATATAAAACTCGCATAAAAAATTAATTCTGATTAATTCTGTTTGGTATTTAATAAACACATGACTGAATTTACACACGTCAATTTAATTTTCAATCTTTAGGTTTCAAAAAAAAAAATGCCTTTAAACGTTATGAAAAAGAAAGTTCCTCACCTAGGAGGTTGAGTAGCGTAACCATTAGATGGTTGAGAAGACGGTTGATCAAAACGTGGCCTTTTGGAAGGTCCACTCGAGCTAGGTGGACCTCCTCCTCGTTTCGTAGGACCACCACGTCCACCCCCAGTCCCTCGACCACCACGATCAAAGCCACCACGGCTGGGTCCACCTCGGCTTGATCCTCCTCTGAAACGATAAATTGCATTTAAATAAAAATATAATTCTATCACATTAATAAAATTTTCGTTACAGGATGAGAGCATCACTATAGTGTATTTTTCATATGGATTCCATTTACACGATTCACTCGATTTCACAATCAGTTTCATAACATCAATATTATAATTTCGGCGTAAATCAAGTCGTGTAAACGTAGTCATTGTAATTTTTATGTTTGCTCTTGTCATTTGCTTATTTTACCTATTCCTAATACTAAAATTAACTGTTAAGTAACTACCACAATGACACTACATATATTCGCAAATAACACCTCATCTTTACATACTAATAAATTTTATTGCTTCATCGCTTATGTCTTGTAGTGTAAACATCTTATTCAATTCTCTTTATACATATTTTTTATCATGACTTCTTGATGTTAAAAATATCTTAGTTTAACAAAAATTTATCCGACTGTCAAGCCATCGTATTGCATCTACTACTTTAAAAATTTTGAATTTCCGATATCAAATATAAATTCAGCAAATTCAAAAATTTCTTATAACATATATTTATTAAATTATCATTCAATAAATTGTTAGAACTTAAAAATAAATTTGCAATATATTTACATGTATTAAAGATTTTTTTCAAAAAGTTTTCAAAAGAACAGTAACCATCATTATACAAATAATTTTACTCAGGCTTAAATAAATAATTTTGGAGCTAAGAGTTAACTCTCACCTGGATCCTCCTCTACCTCTATCCATGCCGCGACCCCGGAAATTATTGCTACCTCCGCGGCTATCTCCCCTGCCGAAGTCGCCTCTGCCTCTGCTACGGAAGCTATTACTGCCGCCACCTCTTCCGCCACCACCTCGTGGAGGACCACCCATTCCTAAGGGTGGCGGACCACCTCCAGGTCCACTAGACATTCCTGCTTCTGGTGGTCTATGTGAATGATCAATAAATAATTATATTAGTTTATAATACAAACTTATAAACTTTATTATTAAAAATATATAAAAGATTTATAAGATCTTGTAAGTCACATTTCGCGATAAATTTATCAACAGACATTAGTAGAAAGTACAAAGTAGTAATGTATTATTAATAATGTATATTTATTAAATATATTAATATTTTTCATAATATTGGAAAAAAATTAATATACAATTTATAAATTAATGACAAATTTAAATATTTTACAAAATGTGATCAATTTTATTAGAATATAAAATATATAATAATAAAATTCTTACCCTGGAGGAAAATGTCCACCTCGTCCACCTCTGCCAGGAGGGCCACCTCGGCCTCTCATTGGTGGACCTCCTCTTCCGCCAGGACCATTACCTCGTCCGCCACGCATCATGCTACCACCTCGAGGAGGACCACCTCTGTGAATAAATATATCAGTTATTTCTTTCATATTTATATTACATACATAAACATCTCTATTTGTACAATTTGATTAAATTCTTTCTTTCATTATGTCATATTTCTTTTTTTTAATTAAAAGAATAGAAACTAATTATAAAAGCAATGTAGTATTTAAGAATTTCTTTCTGGAGCAAATTGTTTCTTGAGAATATTAAAGGAGTAGCAAGTGTGTCGAGCTAACTAATCTGCATTCACGATACATATTTGTATTCCATTTTGTCTTATGGACAACATATTTTGCTACAAACATTTTTTATTTCTTTTTTACGAACTTACGAAGACTTTTTCAAAGACAGCTTTTGCAATTTGCTTTGAGTAATTATAATCTATTCTTGATCTATCTATTCATTATTCTTGATGCAGATATATGTTTGTATAGCTCACATTTTATTATCTCCTGAAAATAATATTATAACGAAACTTTTTCAACTTTTTTTTTACAAAACTAATATTGAATTTGGTTCTTAAAACATTATAATAAATAAAATTATCTGCACTTCATTACATTATAGTGCAGATCAAATAAAATATCAAAATTTTTATTTTACTTCATCAAAAAAATTGTTTTAAAACGACCTACAGGCGACTTTCCTGATAAAAAATATCCCAATTATTTATTGCTATTTTATCAGTATTTTAGTCAAAAGAAATATTCCGATAATCTCTGTATAGTCTCCTGCCAACCCATAACGTAGAGTTCTTTTTTATGGCAAATTTTTGTTTAAATAAGTTCTTTACCTTCCTCTCTCTCCAAAACCGCCACGTCCCCTCATTACTCCACCCGGGCCTCCACGGCCTCGAAAACTACCTCTACCACCTCCTGGTGCTCCCTCCATTATTCAAACTTCCTGTAACATATTTTGATTCATATATATTAATCAAATCCAAAAGTATAAAACTAAACATTTTTAAGTACAATAATATAAATATTTATAATAATTAATCCTGAAATTTTTTTTATCTCTCAAGCTTCAACTTTATAGATCAGTTGTTCAGGATTTGTAATTGTAGGCATTTACTTAATATATAATAGTGGACGTTTTCCAGCAATGACATAGATTTTTTAGTTGAACTTCTTGTAGAGTTCATCTCTTCTCCTTTTTTTTTCCATTGAAGAAAAAAGAAAAGAATGTATAAGAAATTCAGTTAAAAAACAAACTTATGCCTGGTTTTATCAATGTAAATCAACTTTAATCTCAGTTCAATTTATTGTTTAACTTTTTCCAATTTTTAGAATTAGAAAAAGTTAGTAAAACCAAGATTAAGATTCAAACTGTATTGATAGAAATGGACATTAGTGTAATGCAGTAAACTATTATATTCTTGTTTGCCAATGTATAAAATATTTCACTGCGTTCTTGCTGGTAAACGTCCAGTGTCAATGATTTTTCATTTAGTGACACAAGTTGATACATAGCGTTTTTGACTGTAGCAGGTTTTAAACCAACTTGAGTTGGATTGATGCTTTGCTATTGATTGATGCTACATGTTCTATCAATAACGCAGCTTGCAGCGTCATTAATCCAACAAGGATCGATTCGAAATAATCAAAAACATTAACATCATCCTATTTTCTTTTTGCGTTTTCAGTGACTAACAATGATAAAATGACTTGTGTCACCAGAGAATGAAAAGAAATGATGTCTATTGCCTTCTTTTTTCTCGATAAAGATGGAGATAAAAAAAGAAGAGCACCAGACATAAATACTGATATATGTCAAGTTAATACCTAGAATTATAAATCTTGAACAGCACTAATCTATAAAAGTTGAAGCTTGAGACCATGAAAAATTTCAGAATTAATAAATCTAAGAATTAAAAGGTCAAGAAATCTTAAGTTCAGGAATTTCTAGAACGTTAGATTCGCACAGTCCCACGGATTGTAACGCATTTGTCTAATCTGAAAGCAATTCAGTGACATTTTCCATCAAATTCTTTCAACAAAAGATACTCTGCACAACGTTAGTTATCAATGCCTTTGCAAATACGGGGAATATTGTAAAAAATAATCTAAACCCTCTCTCCCTCACTCTTCCTTTCTACGCTGAAATACCGAATTGCGGCGTGCGTGAATATCTTTATATTATTCAGGTGTCGGCGAGTTTTAACAAGATGCGGCGAGTCACGGCGTATCACCGACGCTATCTCGGAAAAGTTCTATGAAAAATGTCCTCGCGGGGACGCGTCTCAGAGACACGACGTCAGATTTAATTGAAGCGAACTCTCGAGCAAAAATTCAGAATCCCGGATTCACGAAACGACACGATTTACAGAGACTGATGTTTACTTACGATGAGCAGGCGGCTATAAAGACGGCTCATAAATCAGGGACGCTAGCACCAACAAGCGAGCAAAATGGACGTCGACAGATCGGTTATCGTAGCGGAAATAGTTGTGAAATTGCGAATTGGAAGGACAAACTCGGCGCATGCGCGGCGAGACGACACTAGCAGACGCTGTTACTCATCTCAGGTGCGTACACATTTCGCTGGAACGGTGGATATCATTAGATCCCAAGATTAGATTGCAAGAATACACAAAACTTGAGCGACACCGTACAATTTATTGGAACACTCTGGTGGAAATTTTTTTTACACTTTTTTATATAACTCATCAAAATTTTTATACAATTTCAAAATTTTTCCAAATTTCAAAATTTTTTCAGAATTTCAAATTTTAGCAACTCATCACAATTTTTATGTTAATTCCAGAATTTTTCAGAACTTTTAAACGATTTCATTACTCTTTCAAAAATTTCTCTAATATTTTATACAAATTTAAATTTTTCCAAAGTGTTTAGAGATTCAAGTCTATATTTTTTCTAAAATTTTTTATGTATGTAAATTCTACTCTAAGATTTCTAAAATTTTTTATTCTATAGTTTCTGGTGTGAAATTTTGCAAAATCTAAAATAATTTAGAATATTTTTTTATTTGTTAACTGTGTTAATAATATCATCTGTGAAAAACAGATGAAAACTATTAAAAATATAATAATAACATTAAGATATAAAATTTATTCTTTAATTTACCCGATTAATAAATTCCTTTACTACATTTATAAACACACACGTTAATTAAATTGAATAATTAATATACATAGCGCTTAATTATTGATGTAAAAAGTAACGCGAGTAGTACGTAAATAGCATTACGTTATTGATGTAAATAGCATTAATAATTTATAGATTTGTGAGAGAAAGACGTTCCACGTAACGTTAATACGAGCCTGAGACTAATCACGTGTTCAATGATGTAACTCACGCACGCGCATGATAGTCCGAAGCGATTTGTCCATTCAATTCGCAGCATTAAACGGAAGAAGAAGAATTGATTTGCAAGGACTACGTGAATCAACTCACATCATTCACTCATATGCGCTGCCAACCGCAGGCTCCAATCACCAATAGCATTCAATATTTATTTATAGTAATTTATTTATCTAAAGATTCAAGGATACATACATACAACACATCGAAAAACATATAACAAATTATAGTAAATCATCATGTTATTGTATTGTAATCTTTAATGATGAAATTTATACCACTGTAAATTTAAGTCCACTGTATAATAAATTTTGTATTACACATATTATATACAATCATCAAATTATTATTATATTATACTATCAATTATTATAATAATAATGTCGAAGATACAATATCTTTGACGTAGACAATCGGAAAAGGTCTATTCTCGAGCCCGTTTTTCTTAATTAATGCTCGTATTAAAGTACATTCACATGCAAGCGTCAAGTAGCGGAAGCAGTAACCAATCAACAAGGAGATTTTTACAGTGGTGTTAAAAAAAAAAATTTCTTTTCACCTACTTCCGCTACTTGACGCTTGCATGTGAATGTACCTTAATACGTTTATGCTGTTATGCAAATTTATATGGATATATCCTAATGCCGATTGCATATTGGATGCGATAAGCAATAAGCAACGTGCGGTGTCCAATGAATGCTTTGCTTTGCATTGTCATATAAGAAAAAGCAGAACTTTCATTGGATATCGCTCGTCGCTCATCGCCCATCGCGTCCAGTGTGCAGTAGGCATAATGCCAACCAGCGCGATGTTCGTCGCGTATGATACGCGATATTCAATGAGCGTACAGCTTCATCGATGTTTTCATTCTAATGCTATACGCTCATTGTATATCGCGTGTTGCACACGACAAAAATCGCGCTAATCTGCAGCCGATATAACGTGAAACGAGAGCGGAACCAATCACAAGCGTTCCACACCAATTGGACAATCAAAATAATTATATAGAAATCTGAAGTACAATAAGCAATACTGCAAGAATTTTGATATTCTATAGGTAACTTAAGCTTAATTTAAGCATTTTACATAATTATTTTGATAAATTAATACAATTAAAAATAAAGATCACTTTTATTATCACTGATTTATATATCTTTATATGTCAAATTTATATATTTTTATATCTATTTTATATATCTTTTAATTTTTAATTTCATAAAATTAACATTTTGCACACGTACGACAGAAATTTTAACTATCGATTGTTTGAATTACGTGACATAATTTATGATTGATTTTTAATAAGGAGCATGGGTGGCACTGGCTACGGTTCAACAGACTCAACTGATGTATATTTTTTCTAATTTAAAATGCTGATTGGATGATCTAAGAGAATACACCAATAGTAGCGAGCGCTTACTCCAACTGTTGAGTTCGCTAAAAGTAGTCACTGACCTAGTTTCCACCGAGGATATAAATCGTATCAGAATGTAAAGCTACATTTTCATGCGAATCGAGTGTCGAGTGTTAGCATGAAAAGCATGCAGCCAAGAATGCAACCAACCAATTACAGTCGAGTATTCCCTTGTTACAGTCAAACGATAGGGGAATGCTCAACTGTAATTGGTTAGTTCTTATATTCTGACCCAGTTTAAACCCACGGTGAAAACTAAGCCACTGTTCCCATGTTCACTTTCACACGTATATTTTGATTTTGCTGATAGCAATCCAGGTTTCTACAGTCAAAGCTCAGAAATCAAAAATGTTCTGGCGCGCTCGTTTTCTCAACGCAGGCAGCTAACCACAAAAATAAAGAAAAACCCTAACTTGCCGTTGCTTGGGAAAGATAGCTGGTAATGTCCCCACATCGCCGAGCCACGTGACTCAGCCGGCGCGCGCGGCGATTGGTCGGCTATGCGTCATTTAAACTGGTGAGCCGTTGGCGTTGCACGTCTTTCGTGACCGTGAGTGCTAGAACTGCTAGGCGGTTTGAATTGAACAGAAGTACGGTGAGCAGCGAATTCAGTGGGTGTTCCTGCGGTACGGTAGCGTGTCGCGCTCACGGCTGTTTACTCTTTTGCTCCTTCCCGTCAACATTCTCATCGCGGTTCTTTTTCTCACGGACACGGAAGAACGAGAATACAATTGAGAACCGATCGAGTAATAACGTAAAGCAGTGCGCATCGGTCATTGAAGTATACGATAAACGCGCGAATCTCTGCCGGCCGGTATTGCCGGTAACGTGATTTTGGGAGGGCGAAAGCGTAGGTCGGGATCGACGACACGACAGCCGCAAAACCTGTCTGTCTGATAACCACACACGGCGTCATCGAGAGTTTTTCACCACGTTCGACGGTGATACGACAGCGGGTTTGTTCGCCACTGCGATTACATCGATTGCATGATGTCGAATGAGGAGGAGAACACTATACCGAATGTGATATACGACAAGAACACCGGCAAGAGTTATATTAAGGGCCGGTTCTTTGGGAAGGTAATGAACGATCGCTACGTCCTTGAGCTACCTTCGCCTTCGCTACCTTGACCTTTCTTAGTCATGATGGCATTACATTTGTGCGTTGTATGACTTCAAGTCTGTTGATTGGCTGTAAGATGGAGATCTGAGCACCTCTCTGTCTTGCAGTCAGTTAACAGACTTTAAAAAATTTCTACGACAAAAAATGCAGAAATGTTATCTCCGCGCTATCGCATTCCTCGCGATTTTTGCAATGCGTATATATATATATATATATATATATATATATATATATATATATATATATACACATACGCACGTGTAAACACGATTCTCCGGCGTTCGACACTTGTTGCATTCGTGCCGAGGACGCGATTTGTACGAGACTCGAGATGTAATTACGAGAGAAGCTCGTGACGTTTGGGAAAGATTGTTTCAGAGATTCCATTGGAGATTCCTTAAATATTTGTATTGAAAGTGATATTTTTAACTTATCTCTAGAGTTTATCTCTATTAATTCAGGTTACTTTTTAGAGAGGAGACATAGCTGATTCAAATGTCGTTTTATCTTTTTCAATAATATAGATGAGACATATTTTATGTTTCCTAAAAAGAAATTTTGTGTTAGTCACTTTAATTTATCTATTTTTTTATCTCTTTTTAGTTCTAATATTAGAAAAGAGATGGATAGTATATAAGCCAAGCTTTTAAACTGAGATTGGTTATTATCTTTGTAGAGATTGACATCACAAAATTGTAGTTTTATGGAATAAGATTACTTAACTATATTTTATCATGTGTATTTAAATCTTTTCTATTTCTAGCAATTTAGATTAGTTTTAATCTTTTAGTTTGACTTGTATTTTCGTAATTCTTAGCAGGGAATAAAAAGTTATTTTTTAAAAATAACAAGTTACAGTTACTTCCATTCTCTAATTCATAGAACAATAAAAAGTAAGTTCAATCCAGATTAAAATTAATTTACATTGATAAAAATGAATACTAGAGAACTGAAGAAATCTTGTGAAGGATTGCTTGAATGCTTTTCTTATTAAAAATGTTTTATATATATATATATATATATATATATATATATATATAGAGAGT